GCACACATGTGAATATGGTCATAAATGTTAAATTCTACATATTTTTCTAAATTTTTTCTACACATTGAGTGAATATTCATTATAAATGTTAAATTATGAATATTTATTATAATATTTTATTTATTTTCATTTATAATTTATTAATTATATATATAAAAATAATAATATTGTTATCTCTTTTACACGAAAATGTATACTTTATGTTATTTATTTTTGTATTTTTACATCACCTAAATTAGTTTCTATAATGCTCCAACTTCCAGACCGTTAATAAATCAAATTAATTTCAAATTTACAATTTCAAATAACTAATAACCTCAAATGCACAATTCATCTCTAAAAATAATTTACACAAATGTCTTCAAAACATAATTTATACAATTGTTTCCAAAAATAATGATGTAGTTGTGGGCCCCAAATTATAGAATGTAATTAATCCTTCAAATGCTTCAACCAGATCGCTACTAAATTGCTCCACACTTGAAAATTAAATTAACTCAGGAAGTATACAATACGACATGAGTAAAAATGTTCAGATAGATCAATAGGGATCTAATAAATTACAACATTGCACAAATGATTCGATTTGATAATTAAGCAATTTACCAAATTGCATAAACAAACAAATTCAATATATGACAGCTTGCCCAGGACCTATAACCCAATCCTACTCAGTATATGATCAGTGATCAGCGTCACCCACCTCACCCAAGCACAACTACCTATTCAGGCATATTGGTACAAGCTATTGGTAGGGCCCGCTCAATACATGTACAAAGCATTTTCACATTATTTAGTCAGACAAATCAACACTTTCAACACATGACAACTCACAGAATTTAGTCAAATGATCAGGATAATCAACATATCAATATAGAATAATTCCACAGAATTTATCAAATGATTAGTATAACAAAGGGAGTACAAATTGAAAGTAATTAAATTAAGACTCTTTGCAAAAGAGACTTAGAAGGAGCATATTATATACCATCTGAATTACCTCAAATCAATTTCTTCTATCACCAATCACTTTGATCATTTGATATTTTTCTATAGATCTCCAAATTTAGTGAATTGGAATTCTAAGGTATGAAAGATTTGACAAACTTTACAACTCTCGATGAAATTATTAACTCTCATTCTAAACATTTCCAATCTAAATGCAAAATCTTGATCAGAAATGGAGAGAGAGCATGAATGAGATGAAGCAAACAGAGATAAAAACACTTTCAATTTATAGAGAAAGAAACGTGGAGGGGAAGGAAAATTTTTTAAAGAAAAAACGAAAAGAAATGAAAAAGGATTTTTTTTTTTTTTTTTTTTTTTTTTCGGATCCTCGGCCGCGTTTTCCTGCGGCCAGTCCTACGGTGCCCCAAAACGACGTCGTTTTGGGGCGAGATTTCAATTAAAAAAAAAAAGAAAAAAAAGACAGAACATGAGCAACAGAGGGCGGAGAAGAAAGAAGGGAGAAGAAGAAAGAGAGGAAAAGAGGGAGAAGAAGAAAGAAGGCACCACAGCAGGCGACAACCTTTGGCCTCCCTTCACCCATGGCGCCACCATCTTCTCACCATCGCCACAACCCACCTTCCCTTCCTGTTCTTCTTCTTCCTCCTCATTTCTCTCACTAAAACTACCAACCCAGCAACCATCTCCTTAATTCGAAGTAGTTTTTGGGTTTTTTTCTTGGATTTGTATGTAAGATATGAACTATTCTCATACACTTTGCTAGATCTAATGTTTGACTGTTTGTATTGATCTAATTTTTATTAATTTTGATTTATCATCTAGGATGTTCAAGTGTTATTCTGTAGATATATACATATGCATCTTTGATTTTTGAACCTCAGATTTTTTTATTTATTTTTTGAATGGTTATTGTTGTTCTGGGTGTTTGAAGTGTTTGTATTGTTGTTCAAAAATCTGAGATGTATGTATACATCTAGAAATGTATGTATACATCTGGGTGTTTGAAGTGTTTGTATATATATCTGAGATCTATGTATTGAAGTGTTTGTATTTTTGTTTGTATTGTTGTTCAAAAATCTGGTTATTGATGGTGTTCTGGGTCTTCTCCTCTCTCTCTTCCTTATTGCTTCTTTCTTCTTCCTTTCTCTCTTCTCTGATTCTGATTATGTGTTTTCGAATATTTTTTTTTTTGGAAATTTTGCCCCAAAACGACGTAGTTTTGGGACACCGCAGAAAAACGCGGCAGAGGATTCGAACTCGGGAGGGGGGGTGTTATGAAAGGACAATAGGTATGCGCTGGTTGGCCATGCTTATCCTATAAGAAATTAACATATATATAATCATAATAATAATGCGAAAATTAAATTTAATAGAATCTTGAATTTAATAAATTTTTAGAATAAAATGAACATGCCTTTGTTGGTCATTGAACTAGAGAAGTAAGAAAATACTCCTTACTGTTGAACCTTAAATTCTTGGCTCACCTTCTTTTCTCTGTCTCTCTTAATTAAGATAACTAAACTACTTTAAGTGATGGAAAAATAATATGTATATTAAAAGGGGAACTTTTATAGGGGAGAAAAGAGGGCTAAATAAACTCTATCAAAAGAATCCCTATATTTTCTTATCTTATAAGAGTAATTATCCCATATTTAAAATACTAATTTCTAAACTTTATATAATATATTAGCTTATCTAATTTGTGGAGTCCAAATTCCATAAAACGTGTAAAAAAAATATGAAGGCTAATGGGCCACACCAAAAAGTGAATCTAACATTCTCCTACTTGGTCCATTAAGCCGATGATGCAACCATGGATTTTTTAAAACATATGTAATTTGTTTATAAAAATTTTAACTCATTGGATTCCACTCTAAAAACCTTTGACATGTGATCATGAGTTTTTTCAAAACAGCCAATAAGTTCAAATTTATTAAAAATTATATTTCTATGATTACTTCGTATCACCAATGTGAGCCATAACAATTATATGACATTTATGTCATATTTCCTTTTATACACTATACAATTGATAACCTTCACTAACTGAGTCTATTATTGGGATATCCAGGTAGTTGCCTAAAGGCCCATATAATTTGTCTTATCAAGACATTTTCTATTTATCAACATTAAAAATAATGTGTACACACTTTTTAGAAATAGAAAAAACGAAAAACAAAATTATTATTGTACAAATAATGTCAATAACAATAACTTCTTGACAATTCATTAACCATACACATCATGGATTGTTCAAGTTTTCAATCAACACTTAATGTTTTTGGACTCTTTCTCTAACAACCAAGTACTTGACTTTCATGTTTTTGGGACCACTTGAGAACTTCCATTCTTGGAGAATTTTTTTTTGCTCCCTGTTTATTTTTTATATATTGTATCTGTGTGAATGCATAACATAGATTATCTTTCTTTGTATATAATATTGGAAAGAGAAAATGGTACTATATGAAAGTAAAATGCGTTGTTTTTTAAAAATGGTCTGCTTCAATTCCAATTTATGAAAAAGAAATTTTGTGAGGACAGAGGTATTTGTTTTGATAGTGTCAGAAAGAAAAAGATGAGCAGAGAGATTTGTGCTGGGTATGGAAGCTATTTTTGTGGTTGCTGCAAATCAAAAGGCTTGACTTTTCCTTATGGTCTTCATCATAGTTATTTAAATTAGGTGTATCGTGTTCCCCTGGTCAGTTGCGCTGAAGTTTTGAGTATGATTGGATGTTCTCATTTTTATTGATTTTGGTGTTGCAGTCTTGCCAAAATAATAATAATGATGATGATGAGGTTGTCATTCTTTCACAAATTAACCATATGAATATTGTCAACCTCTTGGATTGTTGTCTTAGAGATGGATATTCCTCTACTCGTATACGAGTTCATCTCAAATAGAACACCCTTTTAACATATTCATGACGTATAAAGCACAGGTACGAGATACAAATACTGGTGGTACTGTACGATATAAGTATGTCTATATGATAAACTTCAAAAAAATAGAGTATTGGTACTGCTTGGTAGGCTTGTAAAAAACATATTTTTGATTTAGAATAATGCACAAATTAATTAAATAGTTTAATTTGTTAAGGTCTAACCTACAATTAACATTTAATGTCAAAAGTAAAAGTATAAATCAAAATTAAATGTCAATATATTAAATAACTTACAAATCATAATTTAATTTTAAAATCATTCTAAGTATAAAATAAAAAATAAAAAAGAAGTCTAGTGAAAGGAGTTTTATCTTTGTATTAGAAAAAATATTGTTTCAAATGAGGTACAATACGCTTGGATATATACTAGGTACATCAAAAATTAAGAAAAAAAAACTTAAGTACGTGTTTCATGTGCCCAGTATATATGCAAAAATACCATACGAGGTACCATATGCTGGTAAGTACCCAGTACGGGTATGACATGTTTTTCGAAGTACTCATACTTCATAGTTCATGACCAAACAAATTCAAATTCATGACCTTTGTAATTTCATTAAACATCAGGGGAGGTCATTGTAATTTACCCCATCAGGCCTATATCTATGAAGGCCACATATATTATCAGAAAATTACCTTATCAATGTGGTCATTCACAATGTGTTTCACAACATGAATAACTGTTATCATCCCCTTCTCTCTCTCTTCTCTTGTTGACTCGATTGGGTCATTGAGCAGTCAATTGTAAATAAAGAAATATGATGTGCATCCCAAGCATGATCGTGTGTGTATATGATCATGGTATGCCTAGATATATATTCTTCATCAATGGATTTCAATGTAATAATCATATTTTACTAATAAATCATTCTATTCCCAACAAAAACCAATTTGGATTGAACCAACTTAAATATTTGTAGAGTGTCTATTGAGGAATGACTTAAACAGTTGAAAAAAGAAAAGTATAAAAGTAGAGAGGACGCGTTGCGTTGCGTTGCGCTGGTATGTGCTAGGAAACCAAGTACACCAATCTCCATTTATTAATTAATTTATTTATGTTTGACTAACGAAATTAAAACCAAAAGTCAGTCTTTCTAAGTCCAAGTTGGAGGGAGTTTTCTTGGGGAATTTCCTCATCTTGAGAGCCAGCATACATAGATACATGTGCATAATGTAAAAATCCCATCTCTACTTTACCAACTTCTCCACTCATGAGGACCATACACACCTAAAATCTTTCATTTTTGATCACCAATTTGGCTGATTTCTTAGTGCTTTCTTGCTTGCTAAAGGCTTGAAATGGAAAGCAAGCAATCCACAATATTCAGGCAAGTTCAACCATCACTACCTTACTCCTTTCAGTTTAATAGACTTTCATCTTCTTCCCCCCACTCCGACAACAGCAACAGCCAACAACAACCTCTTCTTCACAATCACAAGAACCACGACCAGGAGGTGTGTTTCTTATGTTCAAGTTTTTTATTTATTTGTATCCTTGTTGTATTCATTTATTTATGAACACTCTAGCCATAAATTCATTTCTAAATCATTTAGGCTATTAGACCCAAATTTTAATCACTTTAGGTCAAAAAGACAATTTGTGCAAAAGACTATTGAAATCAATCTATTTGTCTGCTGGTTGAAAACATTTTTATTGAAATCAACATATTTGTCTATCTGTTAAAATTTATCAAATTATTTGTTGAAATGTGAAACGTGTCACTCATTCAAAAATCTATCTATTGAATATCACATATTTTTCTACCTCATTACGATCTATTACTGCCGACGACTTTTTCAATTATTTTTCTAACGCCAGTGACTTTTCCAGTGACTTTTTGCCATGACTTTTTCCGACGTATCTTTATCACAAAACAATATTTTACCTTGGTTCCAATGTCTTATACCCCTTTCAGACCCATTTGTTCTTTTTTTTATTGCATATGCGTAGTGCATGGAGCAACTGAAGCTTGACATTGAAGCTAATTGGAAAAAGAATGAGTCCCTGGAGAAAAGGAGTGCCGCTTTGGGGAGACAAGTTCGTGAACTAAGAGTTGCTATTTACAAACAACAATCCAGAGTTTCTCCTATTGTTGAAACCTACGTTGCTGCTCTCGAGAATCAAATTCATGAATTGAAGTCTGCCATGTCCAGACTAGAATCCAGCTCTCATCAACTCAGTCCGGTGACAGTCAGCTTTCCTCCTTGATAACCTCTCCTTACCTTCATGCTTATTAATTTTAGAGAAAACTACTGTTCAGTGGTTTTTTTAAAAATTATTTTCTAATTAATGAAAAAGTTTATCACTTCACACTTAAATATTTGTAAAGTATATCATTAATTTGTAAATATTTTTTTACATACACACTGACACGGAATTTTCTTAATTTTGAGCCAAGAGAGATTAAATTACACTTTTCACCCCTACATTTTAACGCCAATTTCACTTTAGTTTTTATTATTTCAATTTGAATAATTTAATCCTTATACTTTTTAGTTTAGTTTCAATTTGATTTTTCTATTCAAGTTAGATATTTAAATTAAAGATTTTAAAATATTTGTCACCATATTGAGTGTACATGTATAACTTCTTTAAAAAAATTGGAAGGATGCATCAAATTAAAATTAAACTTAAAAGTGTATGAAAAATTATTCAAATTATAACAATAGGACCAAACTAAAATTTAAATCAAATTACAAAGGTTTGTAATTTACCCTACATATATGGGGAAAAAAACCATTTCATGATGGGGCCTAATAATATATATATATATATATATTTGATGTTATGTATTGGGTCAATTATGACTTAGTGTAATTTTTCAAAAAACATTTAAATTAATGGTAAAATTTATAAACAATAGTAATTAAATTTAAGAAAAATAACTGCAGAATGGGACAACAAATAAAATATTACAAACCATGAAAAAGTTTAATATTTTAATTATTAAAATATGTAAACTTTTCCACTAATACGTATTTTTTTAATTTTTTTTACTCGTCAACTGCCCTGTTATTTTCTCTTAAATTTATAATTTTTTTTCACTAACAAGTAAATATTTTGAAAATTCTCACTGATGTGTAATTTCTCCTTATTATTACGACATAACAGGTGGACACTAGTACTGGAATGGGATCAGATGCTGCCCTAAAGGAAGTGGTAGATAGACTGGAACATCGGGTTGTGCAACTAGAACTTGACTCTTTGATGAGTGTTGTGAGTAGTACTAACAACTACTATTAATGCCCCATTTATTTTTCTGTTATAATTTTTTTTTTTTCCCTTTTGTTTTTGTTTTTTTCCATTTTTCTTTTTTTCATATCATCTATATACTTGGATTCTGATTTTTGTGGGTTTGTTGTATGATGAATGATTCCAGAGGAAACAAGAAATGGAAAAAGTTGTGGAAAAGAATGCAGAATTGGGGAACCAACTTACACAACTAACAAGTACTATTGATCAACTAAAGTCTTCATCTTCTCATGTAAGCAATGGTTATGTTTGTTCTGTTTTTTACTGGAATACCCATAGTCACAACTATATTTCTGTGCTTGTGTTTGATTATGATCATTTTTCCTCTCTCTCTTTAGCTTCTTCTTGTGGAACAGGAAACTGACTTGACCACTCCCATGGAAGCAGAACATGGAATGCAAGGACATGAGACAAAAGATCTTGTTAGCTGCCTCGTAGTTTTGATTTTTTTAGTTTCTGTTCTCATTGGTGTTACTCTCTAAGAAGTAGCAGTTCAAGATTTGTAGACCTAAAACATTAAAAAAAATAATAATAATAATAAGTTTGGCTAACAAAAAAAAGTGCACTTATTTCATCTTTTTATCTTTTTTGGGTCACATCAATCAACATCTTCTCTCTACTTTTTCTACACATAATACAAAAAAAGTCAAAAAGTACACTTATTTAGTCTTCTCAAACTTGGCCTTAGCGCTTAGTAGAGTTTTAGAATTATAATCGAGAATAGAGTTATATTTCAAGTTTGTGAGTTTTGGAATTATGATTTGACTGTGAAAATTTTTTTCAATTATGAGTTTAGAATTGAGTTTGAATTGAGTGATGTGACATATAATATTTGATTCAAAAACTTACAACTCATAACCAAACATACAACCCAAAATTCTATTCAAAATTCATAAAAAAAATTTAAAAAATTCTAAAAATATTTTTTATTTAAAATATATATATATATATATATATATAAAGATAAAACTGAAACTGTTCCGATTAACCAGTCAAACGTATGAGAGGCTGACCGAATAAAATGTTTTCAAAAATGAGTGTAGAATTAATTTTTAAAAATTCTAAACAAACATTACACGCAAACAAAGAATGAAATTATGATTGAAACACTGCACCAAACACAGTCGTCATCCACAATGTGAATTTTTTTTCTTTTTTTTTCAATTTTCTAAGTTAGCCTAGACTATGGACATAATCACCTAAAGATTGAACCACCTCTGTCTATAAGAAGTTTTACTAGTTAGAAAATGAAAGAAAAATGTCAATCCAGCTTGATTTAAAAAACAAAAACAAAACAAAAAAACCAAAAAGGGAAAATTCTACTAGTATTTCTTATATTTTCGCTCTTATATCATTTTGATCACTCTGTTTTTAATTAATTTATTTAAATCTTAAATTTATGATTTTATCTTAATTTAATCAAATTAAATATAATTGTCAGTATTTTTTACAAAAATATGCACATGAACAGTATATGTTCTATTTTTATAGGCAAGTGCACTTTTTGGGATGACCTAAAACTTGTTGTTTGGAATGACCTAAATAAGTGTACTTTTTGTCTTTTTACGAAAATATGTGCAGAAAAGTAGAGAGGTGATGTGATGAAAAAAAAATAAAAAGATAAAAAGATGAATTATTTTGTGTATGCCAAACTTGGCCTTATTCAACTGAGAGAGCTAAATTTAACCAACTCATTGACTAATTTTTTTAAGAGTAAATTACAAATATATTTTCTGAGATTTACTTAAAATACGATTTACCCTATGTAGTTCTGAAAATTACATCTCACTTTTTAAAATTTTTAATTTCATAACAAATAGTCTATTTTGTTAATAAATCATCAAGTAAATTAACAGTTTTTAATAATGTCATAAATTTATTTCAATTAATAATTTAAGTAATTTATTATTGTATAGAAGAGCCATTAGAAATTTAATTTTTTCAGTTAATTATGTTAAATAAAAAATTATGACAATGAGATATTTGTAATTTTTTAAACTATAAGGGACAATCCGTATTTTAAACAAATCTTAAGGAGTATATTTATAATTTATCTTTTTTTTTTCAAACAGTAATGGACAATAATTGGATCAAATTGACATAAAATTTAAAATTAATAGTTAAAATTGAATTAATTAAAATAATTGAAACTAAAATGAAATAAGAGACAAGATAGAAACTATAAACATAATTCCCCCCCCCCCAAATAATAATAACAATTTCCATTATTATGATGTATAATATTTTTCATTGATTATTAAATATTTTCTCCAAAAAAAACAAAATGATTCTCTTTTGTTAGCTGCAGTAACAAAACAACCTATGCCTTTTCAAGGGAACTTTTTGCTGAGAGCTGTGAAGTACGCCTTTTGGCCCTGTTTGGTAGAGCTGTGGAAAAGTGCTTATAGCTTATGCCTAAACAGCTTATAGCTTATAATTTTCAGCTTAAGTTGATTTCCAGCTTATTCTTAAAGCATCTCCTGCCCCACTCAAAGAATAAGCTGTTTTCTGACTTCCACAAAGCTAAAAGCTATAAGCTATAAGCTAAACCAAACACATCAAAATAGCTTAAATTAAGCTGAAAGCTGTAATAAGCTGAAATTAAGCTATACCAACCATTCTTTTCTTATGTGGGGGCAATTGTGATGTGCCGTCGAGGCAAAGGCTATGGTGGCAATAGTGGTAATTAGGGGTGTGCATAATATCGCCGAAACCATTGAAACCGTCAAAACCGCACCGTCAAGGTAAATTCGTTATTATTTGCCAATCGAACTGCCGGTTTTTGGTAAGAAAAATAACAAATTCTAGTGACACTTTTATCAATCTGCCGGTTTCTATTTTTCTTCCAGACCGCACCGACCCGCACCGCTATTAAATCATGTTTTATAAGATTCTAAAAATTCTTTTTTACTTAAGTTTGCTTATTGTTCTATACCTTAGAATATAGTATTACATTACTACTCGGGGAAAATTCAAGATGTCAGTAATCCAAAATAAAGTTGGATTCCAATTCACTTTTCAATCTTTTTTTTTTTTTGGCCATGTTGCAAACTTTCATCAGCTCACTTTTCAATCTAAATACTTTTCAACAGTAAACATTTTCATTATATTGTAAACCCCGAATGATATTAATTTTATGTATTGTATTTGATCATTGTAGCTTCCACAGATGCTTGTAATGAATTGATAGCATAGTCATTGATATTATCATGTTGTTGCTACACTTGTTGCATCAGAAGAAAGCTTCGCAAGATGCTTAACATCACGGTATCTCTCGTCTTTTTTTTACTCTTTGATTTAAGTTTTGTAATTTGAATTATATTTTTTAGAAACCGCCAATCTGCCCGAACTGCCAAGGCAAATCCGCCATTATTTGCCAACCGAACCGCCGGTTTTTGATAAGGAAAATGACAAATTCTAGTGACACATTTATCAATCCGTCACTCGCCATACGGTTTCTATTTTTCTCTAAAACCGCACCGACCCGCACCGCGCACACCCCTAGTGGTAACACACTACAAGATAGTAGATACCATTTTAGAACAAAATATGAGGGGGACTTATAAATCTTAATAGGTAAATTTATTTTTTTAATAAGTCTTATGATAATTAATAGTATTTTTTAACAGATATTATTTAAAAAATAATTAATTGTTAATTTTTAGTGATAATTTTAAACAATCGTCATAAAAAAAAGTCATTAATTTTTAACTTTTATTGATAGTTTGAAAATTTTATTACAGAAAAACATTACTAATTGAAAGTTTTTGCAACAATTTATAAAAATTGTAAGAAAAAAAATCATTAATTATCAATTTTTGACGACATATGTAAAAAATTGTCACAAAAAATTATTTTTAGCAACGATTTTACTAAACCTTACTTTTCATAGGACTTGATGTGAATTAAGTCAAACTATTAGAACCTATTGATAGTTTACCCTAATAAATTACAACGACAGTTCTTACATTTTGCAATTTGTGTTATTTTAGTTCTTATAATTTAATTAACTCAATTTCTATTTTTAATTTTAGATTTTGTATCAATTTAGTCTAGTTAATAACGTCGTTAGAGTTTTTGATGGAAAATTAGCACTGAGTTAGTTGAGGTTAAGTCACTAAATTAATGAAGGTTATAATTTTGCTCATAAAACATAACACGTGCCACTCACCTGCGCATTTTGTCATAAAAAAATTATAAAAGTTAGAATCAATTCTACCAATTTGAAACAAAGTAAAAAATTAAGGGTCAAAATTAAACCAATTGATCATAAATGTTAAATCCTACATATTTTTCTAAAATTTTTCTACACATTGAGTGAATATTGATTTTAAATGTTAAATTATGCATATTTTTCACTCAATTTAACATTTAAACCAATTGAGTGAATATTGATTTTAAATCATAATTTAACATTTAAAATCAATATTCACTCGATTTATATTTGTGACATTTTATCTTATTGACTATGTTAGCCTTTTCGTAGATTTTAGCCTTAAAAAAAAGCCATAAACCCACTTCTCAAATAGGGCCATAAATTACCTCACAAAATAGTTAAGTTCTCACAAATATAAATAATTTGTGAGAACTTACGTAAGTGTATATAGTATGCACTTGTATACTTAAGAATTGCCCTTAAAAATATATATATATATATATATAATTTGTTAGTTATATGGATAAAATATTGATATTATCATCTCTTTTATTCGAAAAATATATATTTTATGTTATTTATTTATGTATTTTCGCACCATTTAGATTAGTTTAAGCCCAATTTACTTTACTTAAAAAAATTAATATAATTAAATTTGATGATACAGCGTGTTCCAGATGGAACGGGTCGGACTGATCCACGCTTCCCAAATCTAAGCCGGAGGTACCAAGCCCACAGAGAAACCTGCACAAGAGTTCAACGGGGAACAGGGAGTCCCCCAGCAAACCCTCCGACGTGCAAGTTAGAAAGAGAGATGGAGTGTCGAGAGAGATTAGCGATAGAAAGCTTAACCTTCTTCTTGTCTTCGACATCTGCTTATATCCTCTGATAATCATTTTGTTGTCCCTTCCGACCTGTCACCATGGCCGAAAGTCTATACTCTAGCTTGCCTTGTTCATGATGAGGTCGTTCTGTCTCGACGGGGAGAGGTTATCGCAATAAATGTTGTAAGGGACCTCATTAATGGTTAATGTGCAGTGCAATAATTTTGCGGGATCTTTGTCTGCTTATGTTGCTTGTCCTTCTCTTGCCACGTGTTCAGATGTCATTGCTTCTTAATGCTATGTTTAGTTCCAGCAACATTGGGCCTTAGTATTTGAATTATGTATTGGGCCCTAAGTGGTGTGCTATAACCTTTATGGGCTTACCCATGTCAGTAGTCCCCCATTCCCAAGTGCAGTTTTAGTCCAACGAAGGGAATAATGAAGAAGACGATGGTGGTGAAAGACCGACGGCGATGGTGGCCGAACGGAGGGGCCGAGTCTGAGGAGGGCCGACTGCGAAGGGTAGCCGAGTGGAGGGACCGACCATGAAGAGGGCCAACCGCGAAGGGTGGCCGAGTGGAGGGACCGACCATG